AAGTGCACGTTCTCGTCCCATGCAAGCTGACAGGTTTTCTCAGCCCCGTGGAATTCCACTGTTGGTGACCCTGTCCAAGCACCCAACAGCATCTTCTACCACTTTCTGCCTTGGCTGGCTCATTGAGAGCCTGGCCCATTCCTTCCTGTGTTAGTTTCCTATCGCTGCTCTAACACATTTCCACAAACTCAGTGACTTAGAACAACACCCATTTATCATCTTATAGTTTGGAAAATTAAAGTCTAGACATCGAGGTGTCGGCTGTGTTCCTTCAGGAGACTAGATGGGAGAATGCATTTCCTTGCTTTTTCCAGCTACAGGCTACCCGCATTCTTTGGCTTATGGCCCCTCCCTCCATCTTCATGGCCTTCAGTGGAGCCTTAACTTGATCACATCTGCAAAGTTCCTTTTGCTGTGTAAGGTCATGTGTTCATGGGTTCTGGGGATTTCCATACCTCCCACGACAACAGCCCAGCCACTAGAGTTGGGGAACTGGAGGACACAGGAGAGGAGGTATTAGGTTGTGGCAGAGACCCTGGCCAGCTCTAGTTAATATGTCCTGTGGGGAGAGGAGGTAGACCAGAAGCACCTCAGATGAATTTGGAGCAGCCTTGGTTCTGCCTTGCCCTGCCCAGCTGCCTAGTTGGGAGAGGGCAGAAGGGTGGGGGCTGCCCGTAAATCAGGTCATCTTACCATCTCCCGTAAGAGGATGGCCAGCCAAGAAAGCCACCACTTCCACACACAGTCCCGCTCCTGTCCTGTTTATCTCCTGCCCCCTGGCCTTGCCCCTGTTTCTGTCTCTACTTCTAGCCTGGAGACTTGCCCACTGACCTTACTTTCCCACCCTTGGCCCCCATGGTTGTTGAACCAGGCCTACGCTCCAGCTCCTCTTACTTCAGTAGAAATCTATGTACCATCTTTGGTCCCTTGGATATCAACCACTGTACCTCAAGGAGGTGGGCATTGCTCAGGGAAGAGTCTAGAAATATTTGCCACTATTCTCTTGTTCTGTCTGGCTCCTTGTCCTCAGTCAGGCATTCTGACCAGAATGCACTGCACACACAGTCTTCCTTCAGCTGACTGTGGGCCGCTGTGAGCTCAACTTTGTGAATAATTGTGAGGTGCTGGTTTTTTTTTTTTTTCCCAACCCTGCTGTCTCAAAAAATGCTTAATGATTTCATTCATTTACATATAATTCATCAGGATCCTAGAATTTCAGGGGAAATGATGATTTGTAATGACAAGCAGATAGACTATTTAAAATCAGGGCTCACTCAAAATAGCCAGAACATATGATCGACATCTGGAAAACATCTGCAGGAATGGTGTGGCCACAACAGATACCAGAGAAATGGAAATTTTAAAACTATACTGAGGGTTTCTGGGTCCTAAGAACACCAAAACAAAGTCCTCATGGATTATATAGCAAACTAATATTCAAGGGGAGATTATTTATTTATTTATTTTTAAAATAACTTTTATTTATTTATTTAAAGAAAGAGAGAGTGTGTGAGTAGGGGGAAAGGGGCAGAGGGAGAGAGAGAATCTCAAGCAGGTTCCACGCTCAGCGCGGAGCCCAACATGGGGCTCAATCTCACGACCCTGAGATCATGACCTGAGCCGAAATCAAGAGTTGGATGCTTAACCGACTGAGCCACCCAGGTGCCCCTCAAGGGGAGATTTTTTTAAAAAGCAAAACCCTTGGGGCGCCTGGGTGGCTCAGATGGTTAAGCGTCTGCCTTCGGCTCAGGTCATGATCTCAGGGTCCTGGAATCGAGTCCTGCATCGGGCTCCCTGCTCCTTGGGAGCCTGCTTCTCTCTCTGCCTTTCTCTCTCGCTCTGTCTCTCATGAATAAAAAAAAAAAAAAAATCTTTAAAAAAAAAAAAGCAAAACGCTTTTTACTATAAAATAAAACACAGACATAACAAAACAAATGTATGACTCAATGACTTATTTTAAGCCAAACATCCTTGTCACCACCAACCAGGTCAAGAAATGAAGCTTTGCCAGACGCCCTAGAAACCTCTTCATGTTTCCCATCCGAACCATACCACCCCCCTCCCCACCATGTAACCGTGATCCTGACTTCTCTGCTAATCACAAAAAGCAATAGTTTTATCATCCAGCTGTACATTCCTACATACTATAGTTTAGCTTGCCTTAAAAAAAATTTTTTTTAGCTTGCCTTTTAAAAACTTTTATTCAAATGTCTTCTAAGTCACTTTTAACCTATCCCCCCCACCCCTTCCATTTCTTTCTTTTCCTTATAATCTAGCTGTTGAAGGCCCTGAGGCATTTTGTCCTGGAGGGTTTCCTGTAGTCTGAACTTTGCCCATGTATACTTGTGGCTCTGTTCGCCGTTTTCCTCTGCCCTCCATCTGAGGACATTTTGGCTGTGAAAAGGAGGGATGGCAGACATTGACCACCTCACCTGCTCATCTATGGTCTTTTCCCAGAAATCTTGTGAATGAGGCTGGTGCCTATTTAGCTCTGCATGGCTGTGGGGGCACCTGCTTCCTCAGCCTGGTCCCTTGGGTTCCCATCAAGCCAGCTTCCCTCATGGAACTGCTTCCCAGTGCCCTCCACCCCATCCCAGGGCCAGAGGATCTTGCACATGGTCAGTGTTTCCTGGCTTCAGTGAGGTTAGGGAAGCAGCCAGGGCTCTCCACGAAAGATGCTGTAGAGCCTGCCTGGGATGGAGCTTGTTTTCCCGCAGACCAGCATTGCAGCAGGTCAGGCCACCTCTGCCCGTGGTAATGCCTCTGGCCAATTGCTCCAAAGTGTGCATGTCCGGTGAAGCATGGGATTGGCCAGAAGCATTCTTGGCCACATTCTTTTACTGCATTGTCCTGGATGGGCCCACAACGTGGGCTGGGCTGCTCCAGGCAGCAAAGGGAGCTCCTAATCCAATATTGCCCTTGGACCTGGGCCAGAGGGCCCTGGCCTGGGCTCCATGCTTTGGAAGGTGCCACATTGCCATAAGAACACACAGAAAGCACATGGTAGAGATTGCATGGGCACTTCCGCCTTGGGATGCAGTGGTCAGTGCTGGCCTAGTCCTAAACCCTGAACCGTGCCCTTCTGGGAACAGCTACTTGCATGACTGATACTGTTGAGGCCCCAGGGAAATACTTCTGCACCGCGCTTGCGCTGTGTTCTCAAAACAAAAGGCGACTATTTATGGATGCCATGAAAGTTTGTGGGTTGTGCCTCCTTGGATCTTGGAGATGGCCACTGCTTTGGAGTAAGGAGGGAATTTGAGCAGTAGAGGCTTAGGAGAAAGAAAAGACAAATTAATGCATCAAACCCTTCCAGATAGCATGAATGCAAGAGATTCACAGGTAACCAAGTATCATGTCCCACTGATGCTGTGGGTCCCTATTCTTGTTTCTCTCTGTGTTCCAAATGGTGGTTCCAGAGGTACTGCGTGGTGGCTAAGGAAAACCATGAAACATTAAAAAATTAATATTACTCTTAAGTCTATACATCCGCATATCTATAAACATACACTCTTTTTTATTTTATTTTTTGTTTTTTATTTTTAAAGATTTTATTTATTTATTTGAGACAGAAAGAGAGAGACCACAAGCAGGAAGGAGGGTCAGAGGGAGAGGGAGAAGCAGACTCTCCACTGAGCAGGGAGCCAGATGTGGGGCTCGATCCCAGGACCCGGAGGCAGATGCTTAACTGACTGAGCCACCCAGGTGCCCAGATACATTCTTTTTAAAAAAAAATTTATTTATTAGAGAGAGAGTAGGGGGAGGGATGGAGGGAGGACAGAATCTTCAGTCAGACTCCTGGCCGAGCACAGAGCCTGACTCGGGGTTCGATCCCCCAACCCTGAGATCATGACTTGAGCTGAAACCATGAGTCGGATGCTTACCTGACTGTGCCACCCAGGTGCCCCAAAAACTTTTGACATACAGGAAGCATGGTATTAGTTCTCTACAGTGGAGCTTAGATGGACATTGGACACTAATAATGCAAAAAGTTATATATTTATAAAAACATTTAACAAGATTTAATTAAAGTTTCATATTTTATTTTTTAATTTATTTGTCAGAGAGAGAGAGCACAAAGTAGGGGGAGCGGCAGGGGGAGAGGGAAAAGCAGACTCCCTGCTGAGCAGGGAGCCTGATGTGGGACTCGATCACAGGACCCTGGGATCATGACATGAGCCGAAGGCAGACACTTAACGGACTGAGCCACCCAGGCATCCGTTAATGAAAGTTAAGGGCACCTGGGTGGCTCAGTTCGTTAAGTGACTGCCTTCAGCTCAGGTCATGATCCTGGAGTCCCAGGATCATAGTCCCACATCGGGCTCCCTGCTCAGTGGGGAGTCTGCTTCTCCCTCTGACCCTCTCCCCTCTCATGTTCTCTCTCACTCTCTCTCTCTCAAATAAATAAAATCTTTAAAAAAAAAAAGAAAGTTTCAAATTAGTGGGGCGCCTGGCTGGCTCAGTAGGAAGAGCATGCGACTCTTGATCTAGGGGTTGTGCATTCGAGTCCCACATTGGGTGTAGAGATTACTAAAAAAAATGATAAACTATTAAAATTAAAAAATAAAAATTCAAATTATTAAAATTTCAGCATGATTTAAATCACTTTGACTTCAAATTCTGATGTATATGTTTTAAGTAGACATGTGATAAGGGGGCCTGCATCTGTCCTCTTGCCCTTGAGCTTGCAAATCTGGGGGCTGGGCCAGACCTTGTAGCTCTTGAACTTCAAGCTGTCAGGCAGCTCAGAGTAACCTTCCAGCAGCCCTTGCTAATTGCAGGCTTCTGTCTTTAAAGCTCAAGTCCTGAGCCATTCTGCTTTGAGAATGCCACTGTTTCTTCCCTTTTTTCTTTTTGCTAGTTTCTAATATTTCCATCATGGACACGGACGACTTGATTAATTGCAGTTGTAAAAACCTTTGACTGTTTGTGTAGTCTATCTAGTAGTCTGTAAGTCTACTTACTAGAGTAGTAAGATGTCAGGAATTCTTCTCTCATACTTTCTGTTGTTTCCAAATTCTCTATATTTCTTTTTTTTTTTTTAAGAGTTTTATTTATTTATTTTAGAGAGAGAGTGCACATACGCGAGCCAGGGGGCGGCAGGTAGAGGGAGAGGGGCAAGCAGACTCCACTCTGAGCATAGAGCCCTATGTCTGGGGCTTGATCTCATGACCCTGAGATCACAACCTGAGCCGAAATCAAGAGTCAGCTGCTTAACCGACTGAGCCACCCAGTCGGCCCTGGAAATTGTCTGCGTTTCTAAATTTTCAAAATTTCCAAGTTACTTTTATAACCTGAAAAGAATTACAAGGAAAGAAAAGATAAACTTCTGGTGTTGAGCAGGGTATAAGTCTTCTTGATCAGGAGTCCGACTTGGATAAACCCAAATAAATATTAAGATGTTCGATTCATTCATACAGTGGCTATTGATCAAGGCACCATTCTGGGAGCTGAGGACACAACAGCAAATCTTTCGTTCTGTGAAACAAAACATACAAAGTTCCTCATGAAAAAAAAAAGCCACAATGAACTGTAGGATGGACGAAGTGAAATGGGTGAGGGTTGGGAATGAGGAGAGGCAGGAACAGGAGGTACACTTAACGGAATTGATTTCGGGATTAGTTTATTTTGTCCTACACCAAAGTCTCCCCACCTATGAAATGATGTCAGTATTCTGTATACAAGTTTATGCTGCAAACCCTATTTTAAATGGATAATTAGTAATTATTCCAATGAAATATAATACATTTATTTATTTATTGTTTTTTTTTTTAAAGATTTTATTTATTTATTTGAGAGAGAGAGAGAGCACATGAGAGAGGGGAGGGTCAGAGGGAGAAGCAGACTCCCTGCCGAGCAGGGAACCCGATGCGGGACTTGATCCCGGGACTCCGGGATCATGACCTGAGCCAAAGGCAGTCGCTTAACCAACTGAGCCACCCAGGCGCCCTATTTATTTATTGTTTTAAAAAATTCCAGTATTGAGGTGCCTGGCTGGCTCAATCGGGAGCGTGAGACTTTTGATCTCAGGGTTGTGGGTTCAAACCCCATGTTGGGTGTAGAGATTGTGTAAAAATAAAATCTTTAAAAAAAAATTCCAGTATAATTAACATACAGTGTTATATTGCTTTCAGGTGTACAATATAGTGATTCAACAATTCTGTACATTACTCAGTGTTCATGATAAGTGTACTCTTTTTTAAAAATTAAAAAAAAATTTTTAAATTTTAAATAGGCTCCATGCCCAGTGTGGAACCCAGTGTGGGGCTTCAACTCATGACCATGAGATGAAGACCTGAGCTGATATCAAGAGTTGGATGCTTAACTGACTGAGCCACCTCGGTGCCCCACGGTAAGTGTACTCATAATCCCCTTCACTTATTTTACCCATTCCCCCACCCACCTCCCCTCTGGTAACCATCAGTTTGTTCTCTGTAGCTAAGAGTCTGTTTTTTGGTTTGTCTCTTCTTTTTCTTTGTTCAGTTGTTTTGTTTCTTAAATTCCACATATGAATGGAATCATATGGTATTTGTCTTTCTCTGACTGACTTATTTATTTTTTAAAGAGTTATTTATTTATTTATTTATTTATTGGACAGAATGAGAGAGCAGGAGAGCACAAGCAGTGGGAGCGGCAGAGGGAGAGGGAGAAGTAGGTCCCTGCCAAGCAGGGAGCCTCATGCAGGGCTCGATCCCAGGACCCTGGGGTCATGACCTGAGCCGAAGGCAGTTGATTAACCAACTGAGCCACCCAGGCACCCCCTCTGACTTATTTCACTTAGCATTATACCCTCTAGATCCATCCATGTTGTTGCAAATGACAAGATTTCATTCTTTTTTTGTGGCTGAGTAATATTCCATTGGACATATGTATACCACATCTTCCTTATCCATTCATCTATTGATGGACACTAGGGTTGCTTTTATATCGTAGCTATTGTAAATAATACTGCAATAAACATAGGAGTGCATATATCCTTTCGAATTAGTGTTTTTGTTTTCTCTGGGTAAATACCCACTAGTGGAATTACTGGATCATATGGTAATTCGATTTTTATTTATTTTATTTTTAAATTTTATTTATTTTATTTTATTTTATTTATTTATTTGAGAGGGAACGCAAGCAGGGGGGGTGGGAGATGGAGAAGCAGGCTTCCTGCTGAGCAGAGAGCCCGATGCGGGGCTCAATCCCAGGACTCTGGGATCATGACCTGAGCTGAAGGCAGATGCTCAATGACTGAGCCACCCAGGCGCCCCTGTTTTATTTTTTTTTGAGAAAACACCATACTGTTTTTCATAGTGGTTGTACTAGCTTGCATTCCCACCAATAGTGCACAAGGATTCCTTTTTCTCCATATCCTTGCCAACACCTGTTGTTTCTTGTCTTGTCGTAGCCATTCTGACAGGTGTGAGGTGATATCTCAGTGTGGTTTTGATTTGTGTTTCCCTGATGATGAGTGATGTTGAGCATCTTTCCATGTGTCCATTGGCCATCTGTATGCCTTCTTTGGAGAAGTGTCTGTTCATGTCCTCTGCCCATTTTAAAATTGGATTATTTGGTTTTTTTGGTGTTGAGTTGTATAAGTTCTTTATATATTTTGGATATTAACCCCTTATTGGATATGTGATTTGCCAATGTTGTCCCCCATTTAGTGGGTTGCCTTTTTGTTTGTGGATGGTTTCCTTCACTGTGTGAAAGCGTTTTATTTGTATGTAGTCCTAATAGTTTAATTTTGTTTTTGTTTCCCTTGCCAAAGGAGACATACCTAGAAAAATGATTCTATGGCTAATGTCAAAGAGATTACTGCTGCGTTTTCTTTGAAGATTTTATGATTTCAGACATAAAGATTTATGTCTTTAATCCATTTTGAGTTTATTTTGTGTTGTGACTTCAAGCCCCGTGTTGGGTATGATGTTAGCTGTGGGTTTTGCATACATGGCCTTTATCATGTCGAGGTATGTTCTTTCTAAACATACTTTGTTGAGAGTTTTTATCATGAATGCATGTTACACTTTGCCAAATGCTTTTTCTGCATCTATTGAAATGATCATATGGTTCTTATTCTTTCTTTATGGATATGATGTATCACATTTTTTCTTAAGATTTTCAAGTAGGGGTGCCTGGTGGCTCAGTCGGTTGAGCATCTGACTCTTGATTTTGGGTCAGGGCATGATCTCAGGGTTGTGAGATTGAGCCCTGCATCAGGCTCCATGCTCAGCAGGGAGTCTGCTTGAGATTCTCTCTCTCTCCCCTTCCCTTCCCCGCTCTTGCTCTTCTCTCTAAAAATAAGTAAATAACATCTTTTTGAAAAAAAGATGTTATTTTAAGTAATCTCTATAGCCAACATGGGGCTTGAATGCAACCCTGAGATCAAGAGTCGCACGCTCCTCCCACTGAACCAGCCAGGCGTCCCTGATGTGATGTATCACATCGATGGATTTGCAAATATTGAACCATGGAAACACAGTATTTTTATTTATTTATTTATTTTTAAAGATTTTATATATTTATTTGTCAGAGAGAGTGAGAGCATAAGCAGTGGGAGCAGTAGAGGGAGAGGGAGAAGCAGACTCCCCATTGAGCAGGGAGCCCGATGCGGGACTCGATCCCGGGACCCTGGGATCATGACCTGAGCCAGAGGTAGACACTTAACCAACTGAGCCACCCAGGCATCCCTGAAATAGAGTATTTTTAGATGGGTTTTTGTAACATATGAATCCCTTATGTTTATAAATATATTTAAGGGGTGCCTGGCTGGGTCAGTCCGAAGAGCATACAACTCTTGATCTTGAGGTTGTAAGTTTGAGCCCCACATTGAGTGTAGAGATTACTAAATAAATAAATAAATAGGCTTTAAAAATACATTTAAGAAGCCTCAATGAGAATGCATAATAATTGGAATCAGCCTCTTTCATGGAATCACAGGGTAGAAGACTGGCAGTCACCTTCCGGGGTGAGAAGTCCTGCGCAGATTTTGTCCTGATTAATGATTTCAGCTTCTTTTTTTTTTTTTTTTAAAGATTTTATTTATTTATTTGAGAGAGAGAGAGAGCACATGAGAGGGGATAGGGTCAGAGGGCGAAGCAGACTCCCTACCAAGCAGGGAGCCCGATACGGGACTCGATCCAGGGACTCCAGGATCATGACCTGAGCCGAAGGCAGTCGCTTAACCAACTGAGCCACCCAGGCGCCCTGATTTCAGCTTCTTGCTCAAAGAAATTGCAGAGAGTGTTCTTTAATCCCCCTCAGCATGGGGGCAGGGGCGGGTAAAGGGGGTAAAGGATGAGGCACACCCTGAGGAAGGCGGGAACTTGCTGCGGCTGAAAAGGGAAGGCAGGGTGGAGATCACTTAGCTAGCCCGAAGAACAAAGTTCAGTCTAGGCCCCACACCCCTTCCTGGCCAGCTGTAGGCCCCTGGTCTCAGCATTTAAAATTTGAATATTTTAGGGGGCGCCTGGGTGGCTCAGTTGTTAGGCGTCTGCCTTTGGCGGAAGTCATGAACCTAGGGTCCTGAGATCGAGCCCCGTGTCAGGCTCCCTGCTCAGCGGGGAGCCTGCTTCTCCCTCTCCCACTCCCCCTGCTTGTGTTCCCTGTCTCGCTGTCTCTCTCTCTGTCAGATAAATAAATAAAATCTTTTAAAAAAATAAAAAAATTTGAGTATTTTATAAATTGGCCCCAAATTGAAGAGAGAAGGTCACTTCTGTAGGAGGGTGGAAAATGCACCCCCTAGTCAGGCTGGGGTTAGGGACCATAGATAGAGCAGCCCCCTGTCTCTACCTGGTGGTTCAAAGGAAACAGGGAAGTCCTCAGTGAGTGGGACTTGCTACTTACCTGAGGCTTTGGTTGGGGTGTGGCCCATCCAGCACTGGCTGTTTCCTGGTTGACATTTAACTTTAGCTGTTTAGCACTGTCATTGCCTCATGTTTGTCAAACTGAAGGAAAACTTGTCCAACGCTTGCCAAAGTTCTGGATGATTCCTTGCTTCTTGAATTTGTTTTCATATGATCAGGTTCTCTTGGGCAAGAGGGACCTCTGCCCCAGATCCTGCATTTCAGTGAGCCCCACAGGTCACAAAAACACATTTATTAACAAACACAGGGGCACCTCTTGGCTTAGAATCAGCTAGTCGGCATTGGCACTGCCCAGTGCAAGATCTTTTTTTTTTTTATTATTCTTATGTTAATCCCCATACATTACATCATTAGTTTTAGATGAAGTGTTCCATGATTCATTGTTTGTGCATAACACCCAGTGCTCCATGCAGAACGTGCCCTCCTCAATACCCACCACCAGGCTAACCCATCCTCCCACCCCCCTCCCCTCTAGAACCGTCAGTTTGTTTTTCAGAGTCCATCGTCTCTCATGGTTCGTCTACCTCTCCGATTTCCCCCCCTTCATTCTTCCCCTCCTGCCATCTTCTTCTTCTTTTTTTTTTTCTTAACATATATTGCATTATTTGTTTCAGAGGTACAGATCTGAGATTCAACAGTCTTGCACAATTCACAGCGCTTACCAGAGCACATGCCCTCCCCAGTGTCTATCACCCAGTCACCCCATCCCTCCCACCCCACCCCCAATCCAGCAACCCTCAGTTTGTTTCCTGCGATTAAGAATTCCTCATATCAGTGAGATCATATGATACGTGTCTTTCTCTGTTTGACTTATTTCGCTCAACATAATACCCTCCAGTTCCATCCATGTCGTTGCAAATGGCAAGATCTCATTCCTTTTGATGGCTGCATAATATTCCATTGTATATATATACCACATCTTCTTTATCCATTCATCTGTTGATGGACATCTTGGCTCTTTCCACAGTTTGGCTATTGTGGACATTCCAGCACAAGATCTTGAATGTCCACTCTTGTTACTGACAGTGTCTAAGCCCCGGGAAACACTTCTCTACAGGTGTAGACCTATGTCCTTCAAACAAAATGTGACCATGGCCACATACTGTGGAGATCTGTAAGTTGTGCTGCAGACGCCAAAGGTGGACAGGGTTTTGGAGTGTGAGGAGGAGGGTTTGAGGGACTGAAGTGCTTGAGAAGAGGCAGTATCATCAAGCTCATCAGCTCTTTCCTCTCAGAACAATTCATCATTCTGGAGGTTCTCATGAATGAAAGTCATTTTCACAGCATGGCAGCTGAGGAACATCAGCAATATTGAACCATATTTAAAAACATATAAACAATATTAAAACAGCTAACAATATAAAAAACAATTTGTATTAGTCTCTTTTTAAAAGATATTATTTATGTATTTGAGAGAGAGAGCACAGAGAGAGAGGGAGAGGAAGAAGCAGGCTCCCCGCCGAGCAGGGAGCCTGATGTGGGGCTCTATCCCAGGACCCTGAGATCATGACCTGAGTTGAAGCTTAACTGACTGAGCCACCCAGGTGCCCCTGTATCACTCTTAATTTGTTATATATGCAGGTTTGGACCTAATGTGTACAATATGATACCAGTTTTTATTGTTTTACCATTACAAAATATTTCTTAAGAATTAAATTTTCAGGGCGCCTGGGTGGCTCAGTCGTTAAACGTCTGCCTTCGGCTCAGGTCATGATCCTAGGGTCCTGGGATCGAGCCCCGCATCTGGCTCCCTGCTCAGCGGGAAGCCTGCTTCTCCCTCTCCCACTCCCCCTGCTTGTGTTCCTGTTCTCCCTCTCTCTCTGTCAAATAAATAAATAAAATCTTTAAAAAAAAAATTAAATTTTCAAGAACTTAAATTTAGTATGTCATCCTTACTTAAAGAACTTAGATAAAAATTTGATATATGTTGATTATATTTGCCATTTAATTAAAAATGTTTTTATTGTGGTAAAATACATATAACAAAATTTATCATCTTAACCATTTTTAAGTGTATCATTCAGTGGTATTAAGTATATTTATATATATATATATTTTTAAAGATTTTATTTATTTATTTGACAGAGAGAGACACAGCGAGAGAGGGAACACAAGCAGGGGGAGTGGGAGAGGGAGAAGCAGGCTTCCCGCTGAGCAGGGAGCCCGATGCGGGGCTCGATCCCAGGACCCCGGGATCATGACCTGAGCCGAAGGCAGACGCTTAACGACTGAGCCACCCAGGCGCCCTATATATATATATTTTTAAGATTTATTTATTTATTAGAGAGAGAGAGAGAGAGAGAGAGCACACAGAGGGAGAGGGAGAAGCAGACTCCCTACTGAGCAAGGAGCCTAATGCGGGGCTCGATCCCAGGACCCTGGGATCATGACCTGAGCTGAAAGCAGATGCTTAACCGACTGAGCCACCCAGGGGCCCCCAGTACATTTATATTGTTGTGCAGCCATTACCACCATTGCTCTCCTCGACTCTTCATCTTGCAAAACTGAAAGTCTGTACCCATTAACCAGTGACTACTCATTCCTCCCTCCTCCAGCCCTTGGCAACCACTGTCATTTAATTTTTTTTTTTTTTTTAAGATTTTATTTATTTATTTGACAGGGAGAGACACAGCGAGAGAGGGAACACAAGCAGGGGGAGTGGGAGAGGGAGAAGCAAGCTTCCCGCGGAGCAGGGAGCCCGATGCGGGGCTCGATCCCAGGACCCTGGGATCATGACCTGAGCCGAAGGCAGACGCTTAACGACTGAGCCACCCAGGTGCCCCACTGTCATTTAATTTTAACACAACATTTTAAATATTTTAAAGATTTGTTTATTTATTTTAGAGAGGTGGGGAGGTACAGAGGGGGAGGGAGAAAGAATCAAGCAGACTCCTTGTTGAGTGGAGCCCAATGTGGGGCTCAGTCCCACAACCCTGAGATCACGACCTGAGCCGAAATAAGTTGAATGCTTAGCCAACTGAGCCACCCAGGCACCTCAACATTTTAAATATTTTATTTTATTTTATTTATTTTTAAAATATTTTATTTATTCATTTGAGAGTGACACAGAGCACAAGCGGAGGGGAGAGGCAGAGGGAGAGGGAGAAGCAGACTCCCCACCAAGCAGAGAGCCCGATGCGGGGCTCGATCCCAGGACCCCGGGATCATGACCTGAGCTGAAGGCAGACGCTTAAGTGACTGAGCCACCCAGGCGCCCCACCATTTTAAATATTTTAGAAGGAAAATATATATTTTTTTGGGAAAATATTTTTAAAACATACGAAAATGTTTAAATATTTTGGTGTTTACTACCTACTTTAATTTTAAAATTTGATGTAGGGGTGCCTGGGTGGCTCAGTCGGTTAAGCATCTGCCTTTGGCTGGGGTCATGATCCCGGGGTCCTGGGATCGAGCTCCGCATCGGGCTCCCTGCTTGGCGGAGAACCTGCTTCTCCTTTTCCCTCTGCCTGCAGCTCTGCCTACTTGTGCTCTCTATCTCTCTGTCAAATAAATAAATAAAATCTTTAAAAAAATAAATAAAATTTGATGTAAATATACTAGAAATGTGTACACTTTTAATGTCATCACCTCTTGTGAGCTAATAGAAAAAAAATATATATATACACATTGGTTTCTGTCCCTGGTTTCTGGCACAGAGCTCCTAAAACCCCTTGTAAGTTTCCAAGTGATAAGAGCACTAGGAGCATCTTTTGTTTTATTTTATTTTTATTTTATCTTTTTTGCATTTTTAAAAAAGATTTTATTTATTTATTTAATTGACAGAGAGAGACAGCGATAGAGAGAACACAAGCAGGGGGAGTGGGAGAGGGAGAAGCAGGCTTCCCGCTGAGCAGGGAGCCCGATGCGGGGCTCGATCCCAGGACCCTGGGATCATGACCTGAGCCCAAGGCAGATGCTTAACGACTGAGCCACCCAGGTGCCCTTTTTTTTTGCATCTTTTGATTTAATATTTGGCCTTAGACTCAGGTTCATGATGCAGAGTTCCTAAGTCCTTTGTAATTTCCTGGGTGACAGCAATGTCTTTTTTTTTTTTTTTAAGATTTATTTATTTATTTTTAGAGACGGAGAGAGAGTGAGAGCGAGAGCGAGTACGCATGAGCAGGGTGGGGGGCAGAGGGAGAGAATCTTTCAAGCAGACTCCCCCACAGAGTGAGGAGCCCGGTGAGATGTGGGGCTCGATCCCACAACCCATGAGATTGTGACCTGAGCTGAAACCAAGAGTTGGATGCTCACCCGACTGAACCACCCGGGTGCCCCTACAATGTCTTTTGTTTTAATGAGACCGCTGCTGGCGGCTCCTGGATGGGGGCTGGTCACGGGAAAGACCAAACTATGATTTGAAGGTGGCATTTTTAGCCTCACTCCCCATTCTCCAGAGGGAGGAGAGGGGCTAGAAATGGAGTTAGTGATCAATCATGCCTAGGTGAGGAAGCCTCCATAAAAACCCCAAAGTGCAGGGTTCAGAGAGCTGTGTTTCCGGGTTGGTGAACACATGGTGGTACCAGGGTGTGTCACAGGATGAGAGGGCATGGAAGCTCCACCCCCTTTCCCACACTTTGCCCTATGCACCTCTTTTTTTTTTTTTTTAAGATTTTATTTATTTATGTATTTGAGGGCGAGAGAAAGAGAGTGCAAGCGGGGGGCAGGAGCAGAGGGAGAGGAACAAGCAGACCCCACGCTGAGTGCAGAGCCAGACATGGGGCTTGATCCCACGACCCTGAGATCGTGACCTGAGCCGAAATCAAGAGTCAGACGCTCAACCAACTGAGCCACCCAGGCGCCCCCTATGCACCTCTTCACTTGACATTCGTCTGTATCCTTTGTCATACCCTTTTATAATAAATGGGTAAACAGGAAGTAAACTTTTACTGAGTTCTGTGAGCCACTCTAACAAGTTAATTGAACCCAAGGAGGGGGTCGTAGCAACCTTTGATTTATAGCTGATCTGGCAAGAACAAGTGACAATCTGGACTCGTGACAGGCATCTGAAAGAGGGGTGGGGGGCAGTCTTGTGGGGCTGAGTCCTTAACCTGTGGGATCTGACACTAGTGTCAGATTTAAGCCATTAAATTATAGGACACCCAGCTGGTGTCACAGAGGACTGTTGGTGAGGGAAAGCCCCACACATGGGGTGTCCCAGGTGTTGTGAGTGTGGTAGTCATGTGAGAGTAAGAGAGATACATAGGAGGAGATGGAGTTTTTCCTAACATGTATCTAATGTT